GCTATTAGTTAATTGTTTCTACTAGCTTCTTGTTACTACTAGTAAGGCACTTGTTACTACTAGCGATGCACTTGTTACTAGGAACCAAATCATAGAAGCATCAAGCCCAAGGCCCCAAGCCCTTCTGCGTTTGGGTACCTAGTTCTGTATGAATCAACAGACGCTTTCCTCGGTGACATCGCGTGACATCGCGCCAATCGCTTCAGGCCAGCGCTGGAGTGAGGTGAACATCATCCCCCAACTCCAGGTGTGGAGTCGAAAGACTTCCGCACCGACAGTTTGTGGTGGGTGCTTTTGCAACCCTTCTAGGAGTTAAGGAAGGTTAAGGATCTGTACCTTTTTTTTTTCTAGCTGATCTCTTTGAGGCTGAGGCACTCTGTTTCGACATGTCAATGAAAGGGCTTCTATAAGTCGTGTACAGACAACATTGCAGAACAAGTGCTGACTTATATAGACGACTGAGACCTTAGAGAATCCTCAGAAGCTGAATGACATGACTTGCAGAACAATGCATCCAGACATTGGCATTCATGCCTTAGCATGGGTTGAATTCATGGATACCCGCATATTGCCATGACAATTGCTGCCACCGTGCAAATTCGGCAGACACTGGCCGAGCACAAGAATTACCTCTACCGGATCACGGCGATCCTGTCCATGCGTGCATTGGCAGAGGTCGTTAGCTGAGCAGCTAATGAACAAAAACAATGCAGATAAAGTAAGAAAAATACAGCGGCACCAGCATTACTCTAGTGAGACCAGAGAATATTGTTAATTGCTTGAAATTGAACTGGGTCCGTCGTTGGGGATGGCCCTTCGCAGTGCTGCAGCATCGACACATTCATCAGGTGTCTGGCAGAGACTTCATCGACAAGCATTTGGTTCCCATGGTGGTAAGCCCAGCGTTTTTTTTTGTGATGCACAGATATTCCGTTGAGTCAGAAATGTGTCGTTTGTTTGTCCTGACGTGGGTGATCGAGTCTCGTATGGTCCAGCCAAGCAAACTAACTTCCCCGATATTTGGCTCAAGGTTTTGATACAGGTTTGTAAGCGATCGCGACTGACTGTGCATAGAGGCCCATGGCTTCCATTGGACGATTCTTTCTCCTTTGGGTCTTCCTCAGCGCGAGTGCTTGCGCAAGTGATCCAAACAGCACCGGAGCCGGAACCCCTGCAACTGTGCCCTCACTTCGTGGGGTGCAGAATGTGAGCCTGGCTGCTTTGAACAGGTCCTCTCATAACTGTGTTTGCGGCTTCGCCTGTGGCAGCACAAGCAAGTGTGCTGGGCCACAGCCACCGACGTCAGATCCAAGATACAATGATTACATTGACCGCTGGCTTCGTTGTTCTCGCCAGGTGGATGCCTGCCTTGAGAGGTGCCAAGATTGCATCATGGCCTCCGTTCGCTGAGAAATTCATCTTCGCCTGTGAGGCTGTATTCCGGCTTGTGCATCTTGCACATTTTAGAGGCCTGGACATTTCGGATTTTCCCAGTTCTGCAAAAGTCAGAGGCTGATGACATCATATATGCTGAGCCTAATTAGGCTCAAGAGAGGCAGCTCGCCTTGAAAAAGGGCCTGAGTTTGAGAATTGTGGTCGACTCCCAACATGTTGCTTTGAGAAAGATCGGAATTGGATATTCCGATATTGATATTCTTTCCTATTCCCATTGAAGGGGCCAAGCCAAAAATAGCAAAGCAAGATAAAGCACGACATGAGCTTTCACGCCCTCGTGCCCTGTGTTTGTGACATGAATGTCTCACGAACCGCGACAAAACTTAGTTTCCACGTATTTATTGCACTTGTGCCAAAGCCGAATGTTGCAGTACTGGTACGCTGTGAGGTGGTGAAACTCACCAGTGACCCTGTGCCAAATGTCCGATTCAACGCTGCCAAGACAATCCTGGTGGGGCTGCCAATTCGCTGATTCCTGTCACATATGCATTTGTAGCCTAAATATTTTCGCGAGTCTGACATCAGACGATGCTTTCTTCTGCTAGGACACCTTTCCGGGTAACTACGTACGATTTGACAACATGAACTTCACAGAAAGACTGCCGAAGCCGGCTGTGTCAACTACTACTTCATGTAGACAATGTCGAATCATGGCCATGTTGCCGCTACAGCAGTCGCAGATATTTGCCGATATTGTTTTCAAGACTGAGACTGCCAGGTGTAGGTCGGAGGCCATCGCTAGTAGGTTGGAGGCCATTGCTTTGCCAGGTGATAAATCAGGTTGTCGGCAACAACACCCCAGCCAGCTTTGATGGCCAGCTACAGCCGTGCTTGTACCGCCTACTTCAGGATGAGGAGATCAAGACAAGTAGTTTAAACTGCCGCTCAATCACTCAACGTATGTTGGTGAAATGCGCTACTGTAGTTTATGCAGGTTCCTTTCTAGGTCGATCGAGATGAGCCACAGCAGATTTGTGGAAGACCTACTGTACATAGAAGGGAACGTGTCATATTGGTGCCTTTTCAGCGTCACTTGAATTTGTTGTTGGATGTATATGCATTGATATACATACCAGACCAGATCCTTCTATGTAAGTTTACACAAGGGCTTCGTGGCCACAACTGAGTGGTTTCCACTTGGCCGTCGGATCTTACGTGGCCTTTGTGCAGGATCCAGATGTGAAATTCTTTGCTCAGAAGGCCGTGAGTGAATTGGGTGGTTGACCAGCAGGCGCCTCCAGGGGGGGTTCAAGCGACACGATCGATCACGTGTTGGACATTGGCATGTGTGTCGTACTTGTAAGCTCGGGGTTGCGAGTTCATGACGCAGTTACCAGGAGCCCCTAGTTAGTAGCGTCCTTGCTCCCAGTTCTGTAAACTTTGACAAGTTTCTGGAAAGACTTTGATAGGTCAGTGAAAGATCTTACTGGATGACCCCTTCAGTGTTTCCTCTCATCCTAAGACCTTTGCTAGGGATGGCGATTCTGAGGCAGCTGGCAGCTGGCAGATCATGGGTCCTGAAGTAACATTTTAAACATTATCAACAGTAACTCTTTCATGTTGACATTGTTATGTATATAGTTATATTACATCCAGGGAAGTAACACCCAAGACAATATATAATCGTTGACGAATATGTTGAGGCACACTGAAGTTAAGAAGCACTCTGAAGCCAGCAAGGGTTTGCGCACCGAGAAACCATGAAACGCTTGGTTTGATCAACACCAAAGTTTGCCACATGCGAATTCAAGCACCGCTGCCAAAGCCAACCAATCTATGCCCAGTGCAAGCGTTGTTGTGAGCTCTTCCAGATGAATGATGATGAATGCCAGTCAGGGGCTGTGGAGATTTGATGAGACTTAGTAGACGAGCTCGCCACTCCAGCAGGCTCTGAAGAGATTGGGTTTTCAACGGGTGCTGTAGCCGAAGCAGGTGAAATCGGACTCCGGTCCTGCCTGACGAAAAGAATTGTCCCAACTAGCTTCTTGTTACTACTAGTAAGGCACTTGTTACTACTAGCGTGGCACCTGTTCCTACTAGCGTGGCACCTGTTACTACTAGCTTTCTTGTTGGCCTGGCTGCTCAAGCTTGTGTACTCTTCACCCTAACAAATCATCAGTTTCAGCGTGCGTTGGACTTGCTTGCTTCAGGACGTTGGATCAATGCGACGAGACACTTCTGTAAATGGATCTTTGTTGCCCGGACGCTGCCCCAAACAAAAACCCAAAATTGGCGACAAATAGAATGGTGTGGCGTATTAAGGCACAATCAGCAGAATCTTCGTTGCATGGAAGTTGGTGTTGGTGATGCCAGTTTGTTTTGGCATTGGCAATCAACTGGTTTGTGATACCCGTAGGACCGTTTTGGCCATGCCCATTGATGAAAAGCGAACTCAGTCGACTGTAGTTGTCCACGTGCCCTCAAGACCTGAAGTATTTTGTCGCAGAAGCAGTGAAGGCTTGGGAATGCAACTGTCGGACAGTTTGTCGGTCAAAGGCTTTTATCGAGCTGTTGTCTTTGGCTCGATAGCTTTGCCTCGGCGCGTGGCCTCGTTGGGTGCTCAACTGTTGAAGGAGTTCTTGTTGTGAAAGAGATACTGTTGGGGCAGAACAGTCAAGTTGTGTCAAATATCTCTTAACATAGATTTTGCAGAATACCAGGTAGGATTCGGTTGCATCCATCAGGTTAGTTAGTAGCATTTCTGCCTGTTCCTTTCCAGTTCTCAGCCAAGGCGAAGCGCGATGTTGCCCATCAGCAAGAAGCAGGCTCTGCATGTCAAAACTGTGAGTTCAGTGTATTGGATCCACTTTAAGATTTGGAATTGAGTGGATGTTATTGCAGATGTAGAGTGGTTTTGTGGAAAACGAAGTAAGGGTATGTGGGTGTTGAATGAGTTGCTCAGCTTGTGTTTCTGGTTTGGGTCTCCTTTGTTCCAGTTGAAATAGTAAAGACATATTGAGGCCAGCCAAGACCGCACCAAGCGCTCGAGAAGGATGGACCGATGGACTGACATTGGAGGATGCACCTGACCAGGTTGGAAGAGATTGGATGGAGTTTTTTTCACCATCCTCGTTTGGGCAACTGTGATTTTGCCACTCGACATGATCCAATTGGGAGGTGCCTGGAGGTGCTCCATTTGTTCCTAAATCGGCCACAGATTCCAAGAGTCGTGGGCACTGCTTTGGGAAGTGATGCTTGAGAAAAAAAAACACAAATTGAAGGTGACAGTATGACTATGACATATCTCTGGGGTCGGTGTGTAGAGCATTTACCAGAAATTGCTGCTTGCCTATAATACTAGAGATGCCTTTGGGAAGATTCTTGACGACCCAGTTGGTTATTTCTTTTTGCTTCATGTGTATGAGAAATATGTTTGACTGCAAGCCGAGGATTATGTTCCTGGCCAAGTTGAAAGCCTTTCAGGACTGATCAAGCAATTCGATCACACCGCCTGGGTCATCAGCATCAAGTGTTTTGCAATACATTCGTCATCCACACCGCGCTTTGCGCGGTAGCTTTGCGGCAATAAATAATGCGGTATATTCCAGGACGTTTTGATTGCCATCATTCTTGGCACACTCATGATGGCCTGGAACTCGACCTGATCAAAACATTCGGCGAAGAGCGAAGAAGGAGCCGCCACAGACGACTTACACTACAGTAACTTGTATATAAATATACATAATTGTATATATATAGGCAAGGCAAACTTAGGCAAACTGTTCATTAAAGATTAACGAGTGAACTTGTTGCTAGTTGTTGTTTTTGTCGTCGACGTTCTGGAAAGCCAGTTCTTTTTGCACTGTGATGTTGTCTTTTCTCAGCACGGTATGACCCGTGTAGCAAGTCTTTAGTTGCAGACTGTCACAATCAAGAGAAATAGGAGGCAAATGGATGCAACATTCTCGACAGATCAGCAATGGTTGAATGTCTCGCAACTCAGATTGCAAATGCGGACTTCTTCTTCTCTCATTTCCGGATCTACAAGATCTACGTCGTGCTGCGAAGATCCCTCTTCAAGGAGTGCAGATTCGACTGCCAATGCTGCTGGCTGTGCATATGATTGAGTACCAGAGGCCTCATAGAAAATGCACTTTATGCATCCAATTGAATTGAGCCATTGAGCAGACATCCCAACCTTGGTGTTTTGTCAATCTCAATAATACTGTTGCTCAGAATACAGAAAGCCTACGCCGAAAAGCTTTGCATGGGACAATTATCGAACACCAGTTGCCAAGCTGTCAATCAAAGTATACAACAAGACCTAGTGAGTGGAGCAGCGATGTAGCGACCGTGAAAGGGGATATCGAAGACCAGTCAGCACTGCATGTCCTTGCCGGCTGGCTCAGCAAAATCTCCAAAAAGGTAACAAGATTGCTGGGTGGCGGCCCT